ACCTTGAGCAATGCCTGAAGACAGTCGACGTTTCCCTCGCTAGCAGAATGAACAAGGGGTGTCCATCCATAGAGCTTATCAACTTGATCCAAATCTGCGCCGAATTGCTTCAGGAGCAACAGAAGCTCTGATGTCTGGCCCGCCCTTGCCACTAGATGCTGGGGATACAGGCCCTCGGCGTCTGGCAAGATCTTGGCACCGTGCTTGAGGAGAAGCTCAACAACCGCCACCGAGCCATGTTCGCATGCCAAATTCAGGGGGACGTGATCCGAGTCTCCAACAGGGTCGATACGTGCGGATCTAGCGAGGAGAAGTTCGATGCATTCGAGGTGGCCGTGAATAATAGAGTGGATCAAGGGAGTAAAGTTGTCGTGGTCCGTCAGGTCAATCGTGCTTTGATTTGCTACATAGTTGTCAGCCACGAAACTTACAATATAGGGGCTAGTATTTAGCATACCGTCCAATAGAAACTTGAGCATCGCCAGTCTTCCATGAAGACTGGCATAATGCAGGGGAACTCGCCCATAGACATCTGTCCTGTCCACGGCGACATTGACTGAGAGGCCCCATTCCAGCACATACTGCTTCCCATAGATAGCAGCCTGGTGCAGGCAGTTCCGCTCATTGATGTCGTCGTACGAGTGGAGGTCAACAAGGCCTGTGTCGAGAAGAATTCGCAGAGACTCCTGGGGCGCTTCTGAAATGGCTGCCAAAAAGGTCCGCGTTATCCTCTCCATAAGCGAACTGTCGCCTTCATTGGTTTCATTAGCAGACCTCATCCGCAGGAGCAAGTCCCGGAGAGACTCAAGGTTCCCTGTGATGACAGTATCCAAAAGCAGGGTGTCTGCATCCCCTTCGTCTGTGCCCACGAAGTGCTGCGAAGTCACAACATGGTTGGCCTGGAAATTGACCTGGATTCCATCTGACCAGGCACCGAGCTCTTGCAAACTCGTAGTGGCCTGGTCGGAAAGCTCGCTTATGACAGTAGCATTGAAAAACGGTTGGACCTCCACGGCTCGCGAGAGGTAGAGCTCCTTGGTTTTGGATTTTGATGTCTTGTCCCACTTCTTGAGGATCTTGGAGAAGGCGGTGCCGTTGATTTCGACGAATTGTTGAAGCTTGTTCAGGTCGGTAGCAAACTGCTGGAAGCCCTCCTCGAGAGTGGTGAACTTTGCGGAACGGCGGGATACGCCCTGCCGCGACTGGAGCACCTTTTTCTTGTCTAGGAGGGTCTTGAGGCGGATTTTGAGCTACAACGCGTCAGGAAAACGTGCTGAACGAGGCTAAAAGACGTGTCGACAAACCTCGGCTTCCTTCTGTAGGTAGAAGGCATTGACTTTGTCGAGTTCCCGTTCCTGCTCATCGTTTAGCAACCACGAAGGGATGTTCATGGCGGAGACAAAGCACCGGGGATGATCCTTACCAGCTGGAAGAAAAAGGTCGCCTTGTTGGCCTGGAGAGCGGCCTGGGAGTCGACGGGGGTAGCCGAGCGGAGGGCATCATTCTGGGAGGTGAGGGTCGGGGTCGCGGACAGCTTCTTGATGAGCTACATGGCACCGTGTTAGTGGCAGGCGTCCCAGGGGTCGTGGGGTTGCGTGCGGGCAGTGGGTGAAGAAACGTGCCCTTGGGCTGCAGAACGAATGGAGAAGCAAGGAGGCTTGCTTTTGGCAGCCCCCGTCACACTGCGTGATGCCTCCTGCTACAGGTGATCGCGATCTGCAGCTGGAACAAGCAGAGGATCGGAGGGGCTGAGCCAAGAAGGGCAGGTAAACAGTGCAAGGGCAAGGGTTAAGGGCACAGATTCAGAGAGGGGGGACAGACAATTGGGCTGGGGAATCGAAGACCAGAGAAACTTGGAACAGGGAGGTAGGACATGTCTGTGGAAGAAAGGTGATATAGTGGACCAAGCACCGTGAAAGGGAGATGACAGCGGAGACGGGAGCCGGGGATTTCGGTAGCGGGAACGGGAACGGGGGGACCTGAACTGAACCAACGGGGGGCGGGAACGACATGGACATACCTTCTTCAGGGCTTTGTAGTTGACGAAGCTAGCCGCATACTCGGGCACCTCAAGCTGACGCTTCTGGATCTGCTTGCCAAACTTCCTAGAGGAGAGTGTGAGTATTCTTGAACAATCTAGGTCTCGTCATGAGCACCAAGTTTCCAGTGTCCAGCAAGAACCGTGCAGTGTAGAGCAGGTCCTCGAGGGGGGGGCGTTAGGCTTGGGCTGGCTCTGATGTAGGCAGCAACAGGGGGGGCAGAGAGGCTTACATGTTTCGGCTTGGACGCCCTCGAGCTACCCTTGGCGTCCGAGAGGGGAGCTGATGAGGGAGCGAGTGAGTAAAAGCGACAAGAGTTGTCTACCAGGTCTTGCTTGGTAAGGGGGGGATGAGACGACGGGGATTTGCGGCTGGAATACGTGAGTCTCTGTGTCAGTTACAGTGTCTGTGTGGTAGGTATCTCGAGCGTCGTTTGTGCGTGAGTGCAACAGTGACAAGAGAGGCTGGAGCTGAAAGATAATAGGTAAGGTAGGTGACGAGGGGGGATGACTGGACAAGTCGAGGCAGGGCAAAGACTGGGTCTGGAGGAAGCCGAGTGAATGCCTTGGACATGGAAATGCAGTGTCAAGACAGGTCAGGCCGACATCAGCTCAGCCAGAGTTGAGAGGCCAGGTTGAAGGCCAGGCCAAGTGGAGAGTGGTATGGATGGTAGTGCAGTATGAGTTGAAGCCCTATGAACGGGATGCTCAACAACCGCCACTTCCCGTAGACGTCTCTGTTTAATTTTTTTCTCTCTCGACTTTGTCTGTCCCCTCAACTCTTGTCATGTAAAAATGACACGATCAAAGGCCTGGCGCCCCAGGGTCCTTTGATTCATCACCCGACCGCCCGACAAGGCGGCATGCGAGGTCGACTCCCGTAGGGCACGTGGGGGGGGGTATTCCGGAGTGTTGAGTCGGGCGAATGTCTTGCGAGGGCGTGAGGAGGGCGTGGGCGGCTGAAACTCGCCTCTTATGGGGTTGTTTTTCCGCGCGAGATGCAGATGCGGGTATGGATGGGTATGGGTAGGCATGGATATGGTGTGGTGTAATAGGATTGAGGTGTTGGGATTGGATAGAGTAGAGGAGATATTCGAGATGAGCACTCACCGAAGCCGAGGTAGGTAGGTACCTCAACTACCAGGTACGGGCACCGCAAGCAGAGTCCAGGCAATAGTGAAGGTTCCTGGTTCCTTATTCCACTCTCGACCGAGTCCGAGTCGAGTCCTTGCAGTTTGCGCGGCGGGTCTAGACCCCCGAATGAGTTTGATCGTGGGGTGCGAGAGACGAGGTGAAGTCAAGTGAGGTGAGGCTTGTTGAGGTTGAAGTGACGTGCGTGAGACAGGCGGCACGACGTCCGTTGACAGCCAAGGTAAACAAACACTGACAAAAAATGTAGCAAAGACAAAGAATCTTGACCAAAAAGAGGAAAAAGATGCGCACTCCTTTACTGGTGTTGGGAGATTTTATTATGACAAAAGGTCGTGAGAGAGAGGGACTTGAGCCAAAAACCCGCCCCTCCGCCGTCCACGTCCACTTTGATGCTCAGTGGCTCTTGCTTAGAGACGGTCAACCAAAAAGGCAGTCGGACCTTGAGCCCAGCAGAGGAAAGAAGCGGGGACAATTCAAGAGCCGTCGACTTTTTTTAGTCCCTTTTTTTCGTTCTTGTTCTTTTGTCGTATTCGACTGAATCGATCTAGGCAGGAATCGGCTTGGATCTCGTTCTTTTGGTTGTTGTCTTTTCGTCGTCTTCACCTCGATATTTTTCATCTCATCTCTCGTTCATTGCTCGTGCCTACCCCTCCGACTCCTGGTTCTCGTTCCGCCGGCGCCCGTGGTCCCACGGCGTCTACCAGACGGCGGGGCTCGGAGGAGGCTCGTTGTCTCGTCTGCTAGCGGCCTAACAGCTTGGGCACATCTTCCCGGCAGAGCTGTCATAGCAGCCCATCCTCTACCCACAAAGCCTCTCCCCCCGTCGTCCTGGGAATAAGCATCCGCTAATCTCGACCCGTTCGCGCCAGCTTCTCGTGCGTGGCCGGCCGTTATCCGAATATCCAATCGCCGTGCCGTATCCGACCCCGTGCTCGAGCGACAGGTGCTCCGTCTTGCGCGGCCGGGGCACCGCCAACGTCGCCTGTTGCTGGCATGCATCGAGACTGCATTGTGATGGAGTCTATCGGGACTTTCTCCGCGCGTCGGTGCTGCACTTTATCACGGTCAGCCCAATGATTAACGTAGCATGTGTCTAATGTGAGAAAGCCACGAGGGACGTCATACCCAACAAGTTCAAAGGGCTCTGGACCCGTCCCCTTGGTCTCTGTCGCTTCCCATATCACACGCCAATTGCGCCCAATACGTAACTCTGCAGTTCATGCGCTTGCTCTGCCTCATTTCCAGGTCTCCGGGACATCCTTGGAACGTCACGCCAGCTTCTTCACTTGTCTGACTAGTCCTAGTGTCTTCTAATTCCTTCTCTGTTGCTCCATCTTCAGCCCCATCACAATGACAACACGCGAAGCGAGGCCCTACTTCGAATCTTGGTCACTGACTAATAGAATCGACTCAATTCGGTCTCGGTGTTGACCTCGACATGGGATATCCAAGCAGGCGAGTTCCCAGATCACAGGTTCGACTATGCTCTCAACCACCACTCGACCCAGTCCAGGCCATCCAGGATCTCACACCCTCCGACCCTGTTCATGCAGTAAAGTCACGAGGCACATACAGTACGTAAGAGGAAAAAGGAATGCGGGTAGTGAATGAAGAGGCTACACTATGCTGCTGACCCAATACATTGAAACGGAGCAATAACCGGAAATAGACCACCCATGACAGCGAGGTTGCCGATATGGTATCAAACTCATCTACCTCAGCTTCTCTCATGACCTTCCTTGTCACGCTTCACCCTCTAGCATCCGCTCGTCTTCACTTTTGGCCGTCACGCTCATGCGTTGCTTCAGATCTAGTTCTTCTTCGCACTCGCGTCTCCTTGTGAGTCGACCAGGTTGTCGGCCATGGCTTCTGCGGCAGCCTTCTTGAGTCGCTCGTTGTCATCTGACTTCTCTTCCTTGGGCTTTTGATGTGTCTCTCGCTCATCCTCGCTATCCCCCAGGCTAAAGGGGTCGTTCTCAGCGATAGGGCTGGGCTCGACTGTCGACAGCGGCTGCCACTTGCTAGCCTTTGCGCTACCCGCGGGGGCGGCATCCTTGGGCGGCACTCGCGGCGACGAGTCGTACATGTTGATCTCTTCCGTCTCCTCCTTGAAACCAACACGTCTACCGGTGCTCGGCTTGGGCGAGGCCGAGGGTGGTGGTGGCTTATACATGCCCGTGTTAGCCATTGGGCGGTTGATCGGGGCTACATACTGTTAGCTCTGGTGCCTGGCGGTTCGCATGGGCAACACTTACTTCCGTCAGAGGAAAACTTCATGCCAGCAAAGTCGTCACTGAGAACCTGGGGGTCCGCGTCGTATCGCTCGTAGTCACCGCTCCGTCGGCTGGACTCACCAGGGCGATGGAAGGGTTGTCCCTGTCGCTGAGTCTGCTCCTCGCTCTCGTCAAAGTTCTCCTCGATCTTCTTCTTGATGTTGGTGATCCACCCGTTGACCTTGGTCTGTGTCTCGAGGAACCCCTTTCGAAGGTTTTCACGGATTACAGGGAGGTCGTCGTCGATGAAGCTATGCTCTCGGTCGTCATCCCATTCGTTCTGGCCCTGCCCCTGCCTAGGTCGACCATCGTTATGGCCTCGGTTCGCGGTCCGAGACTCGTAAGCTCCAACGTTGTCGTAGTGCTCAGCAAGCTGTCGCGCATAAAGTTCATCCGCCTCCATTTGCGACATCTGGGCTCGGCCTTGTGGCCTTGGTGGTTGGGGAGGAGGGACTTCATCCTCGGGCTCGTTCTTTGCAGCATCAGGGTCGGTCATTTCTGTATATGCGTCAGTTTGCGCCGTTCCTCTGCAACGTGTGGTATAATATACCCAACAGAGCGTTAAAAGCGGGTTCGACTTGGCCGCCGCTAGCTCTCAGGACAGCCTTGATGATACCCTGATCAACAGTAGGGAATGCCTCCTTGAGTATCATTTCGTTCTTTTGCGCTTCGGTCAACGGTCGTGGCGGCTTAGGGGGAGCAGTCTCGTTAGTCGGTGTCTGAGAGGTTGCGGTCGCGGCAGCGGTTGTCGGCTTTCCGTCGTCTCCGAGGACACCAGACTCCTGAACATCGTCGTCATCCAGATCGAGGGGTCGAGCAGTAGTAGGCGACTCGGGAACACTCTCGACCGTAGCCTTGTTCTTCATGACGAACGAGTGTCAGCCATTTGCTTCCAGGCGCAACTTTGCGAGCTTAGCTCTTAAAGGAGTAACATACCGAATCTGTCGGGGCGGACATCTTGACAACGCGTTGAGATCGTAGTTAGGGGATGTATCGACGTCAGTGAAGATAAAGATGAGGACCCTGAACTATAAAAATGCGTCCGAGGGTAAAATAGCGGCGGGAAATTGGTCGATCTCGCTTCAAGTTGGCCTTGCTCGTGATAATATAAGGCAGATGAGGCGCGAGGGGTCGACTGAGCCACGACGGCTGATGACGTTGACCCAGAGTTAAGCTCTAGGCTGCCGTGATTCGCTACTCAGCCACTCGATCTGATTGGGTGCCACTAGCTATTTTTACGGCGCCACAAAGTGTAGGGTAACTTTAGGTGTATCAAGCATCTCTCTTGCGACGCCGTTTCTACTTGAAAGTGCTTCCATGCATGCTGATGCAGATGTTCTTACGCAGAGTGTTACACGTGGACAATTCTTATTCATCCGGGAGTAGTTATCGGTGCCACTGTGTCCTCTAAGTTGGAATCTGTGATCTCGGACAATGGGTGATTTAGATTTGGACTCAACCTTCATCCCGGCGCTTCATAAGCCAGCTGCTCTTCTTCCCATCGCCAAACACCGAGAAAGTTTACTCTATGTCGTAGACACACATCCAGTCTCGATTGTGATTGGTCAGACGGGTTCTGGAAAGACGACACAGATCCCACAGTTCCTGGAACAGGCAGGATGGTGTTCAGACGGGAAGGTCATTGGCATCACACAGGTAAGCAATTCCCAATGCGACGTGAAATACCCAACTGACCTGTCTACAAGCCCCGTCGAGTCGCGGCAACAACAGTTGCAGTGCGTGTGGCCGAAGAAGTTGGCTGTGAAGTTGGCAAGGAGGTCGGATACTCTATTCGATTTGAAGATGTTACTTCTGCCTCCACCAAGATCAAATTTCTCACCGATGGTCTACTCATTCGGGAGGCCCTCGTCGATCCTCTGTTGACGCGGTACTCCGTCATAATGGTAGATGAGGCACATGAAAGGTCTATCAGCACCGACATTCTCCTTGGTCTACTCAAAAAGATCCGGCGAAAACGGCCGGACCTTCGCGTCATCATCAGCAGTGCCACCCTGCAGGCCAAGGAGTTTCTGGATTTCTTTACGAGGAGCAGCGATGACCAGTCCACCAAGGGAAATGGAGATGCGAAAAATGAGATCGGAGCTATCGTCAGCCTGGAAGGGAGAACATACCCGATAGACATCCTATATCTGGAGTCACCAGCGGAGAATTACCTGGAAAAGGCCATCGACGTGGTCTTCGACATACACACCCAAGAAGGCGAAGGAGACATTTTAGTCTTCCTTACAGGCCGAGAAGAAATCGACAATGCGATACAGGCGGTCAGTGAGCGGCTGGCTGACCTCAACCCAAAATATGGTCCTCTGATGGCTTTGCCATTATATGCTGGTCTCTCCAGCGAGCAGCAGATGTACATATTCGACAAAACTCCCGAAGGCACCCGGAAAGTGGTGTTCTCGACAAACATCGCAGAAGCCTCGGTGACCATCGATGGTATCGTTTACGTGGTCGACAGCGGATTTGTGAAGCTGAGAGCCTATGACCCTAGGACCGGAATAGAGTCACTCACCGCTACGCCAGTCTCCAAGGCGGCGGCATCACAGCGTGCAGGACGAGCTGGACGAACAAAGCCGGGAAAGTGCTTTCGACTTTACACCGAGCAAGGTTACCAGTCACTGCAGGAGGCCAATATTCCAGAGCTCCAGAGGTCAAATCTAGCCCCAGTCATCTTGCAGCTAAAGGCATTGGGGATAGACAACGTTGTTCGGTTCGACTTTTTATCACCCCCACCTTCCGAGCTGATGTCCAAAGCACTGGAGCTGCTCTATGCTCTAGGAGCACTTGACGAATACGCCAAACTCACCCGGCCTCTTGGCTCAAGGATGGCTGAGCTGGCGGTGGAACCCATGATGGCCAAGACCCTCCTGTCAGCGCAATCCTTTGGCTGCCTCAGCGAGATGCTGACAATTGCGGCCATGACTAGTCTTGGGGGCAGCGTGTGGTTTTCGCACGAGGGCGAGAGGAAGAAGATGGAAACATCACGGAGAAAGTTTGCTGTGGATGAGGGAGACCATTTAACTCTCCTGAACGCGTACCAGGCCTTTATCACCAAGGGAAGAAAGGAGGCCAAGTTTTGTCACGAGAATAACCTCAACTACAAGTCGATGAGTCGAGCGGTGAGTATCAGGGCACAGCTGAAACGATACCTGGAGAGGTTCAGCATCAATGTCGATGAGACGCTCGCTGGACAAGCATCGGTGGACAATATCAAAAAGGCGGGACAGATCCGACGCTGCCTCACATCAGGATACTTTGCCCACGCGGCGAGGATGCAGCCCGACGGAACGTTTCGCAACGTCGAAGGAGGAACAGTACTGCACGCGCATCCAAGCTCCCTCATGTTCAACCGTAAAGCGGATTGGGTCATCTTCCACGAGGCGATGGAGACGGGTGGCAAGATCTTCATCCGGGAAGTGACCAAGATCGAGAAAGGTTGGCTGCTAGAGTACGCGCCAGAGTTCTACAAGGTGACATCGGATAGGCGGGGGTAATGGGGAGCAGGATCAATATGAAAGGAGGTTGGAGGAAGCCATGTTCAGAGGTGAAACTGCCGGGTTTGGGGTTCAGCCAGATTGGTTTTCTGGTTTCAAGGTTTTATGAGCAGGGATAACATGTTGGTTGATGCAGGAGTGAGGCATTTGCGAGCTCCTCTTGTTTCTCGCGATCTAGGGTGAGATGGTGTGACTTGATATGGGGTTATAGAATGCAATAGAGGAAAAGCAGTTGGGCGGATTGGAAACCAGTCGGGCACGGTGGTACTCCGTACGGAGTAGAACACAGCCTTCTCACTGCTCACAACTCATCTCGGCGATATGTGAGAGCTTGTGTGACTTGCATTAGCTCGGCTATGATCTGAGGTCAGGATAGCCAAGAACCAGTCACTTTACAACCAACAAACAAAGGGTGTGCTATGTAAGCGGCCCGGACATCTCGGGGGAAATGCAAGACAAGACCCAAGACAGAGCCTCGCACCACTGGTGACCCAACCACGGCAGAGCAAGGTGACGATGGCCTCGTGCGGGAAGACGTAAGGGAGCATGCCTACGTAAGCCCCGGCTGGTCTCCCCGGTGGATCATTTGTTTTTTTTTCTTTTTCTTTCGCATCGTCGCAAGCTAAGTTGATACGGGGGGACCGATTCAAATTTCCAAGGCTCCATGTCATTGTTTGCCGATCATCTCTGGTGTTCCTGTAATCTTGGCCCGTTGAGGCAGGCATTGCGCTCCTGATATGCACCGAGTATAAAGGGACATAAGCCAGCTCACTACTGCACAACTAGTAACAGACAGCGCACGAGAGAGTAATAATGCCCCACGTTATGTAAGGTCCTGATGCATGAGCGCGGGAACAGGTCAATTGTGTAACGCTGGCGACCTGCGGCTTGATATGAGGACTCGACGATCACGAGCAAGCCACTGGGTCACAGCACCCGGCGGCCAGGGCATTAAACCTGGACGACGGTGACAGTGTGTTAGATAGCGTAACCCACTGTATTTCGTTTCCGAATCTTTGCTTTCAGGGCTCAGGCCGGTGTCGACGGGGGATCATCATCATGTTCCAGGGGCAAGGACGTCTTCGGCCATTTCACGGCCGGCACTGTCGAAAGGTCGGTCTCGCATACCGTCGCGTCGTCAATGGAGTGGAGGGTCCCACTATCCCATCAGGGGACCGCGTACCTGCAGCAGAAAGCAGCCACTGGCGACTGGCGCAGCCGCCCCTGACGCCACTGCGGATAGGCGGGGAGTCTTTCCCCTTTATTTACTTTCCAATTCTGGTGCTTTGCTTGTTTAAGCAAAACCATTCCATCGCTTCCGTTGGCCGGCGCCTCTTGGTCACCTCCACCGTAGAACCGGGGCCCTTGATCTCGTGCCTTGCATGAAGCGCTCATAAACCATTGGATGCTCATTGTCTCTGCCATGTGACTGGTCAGGGGTAGGAGGGCCTGGTTGTGCATCTTGGTTCGCCTGGTTATGCGAGACTATGTGCTCTGCCGCCTGAGCACACAAGCACACAACAGCCGTGATGGTTCTCGAACCGTTATCTATGGCTGCCACTGGGTGCCGTCACCGGGCGCTAACGGGGTGGCGAGGGACCATGGATACTCTTTGGGAAATTAAACGTCTTTTTGCTTCTTTAGTCGATGGCTTCAGGGACGCATAGGTCTGGGCGTGTGGAGGTACAGTAGGTACATTATCTTCAATGATGAGGCTGGGAGACTGTCGTAGATGGTTGCGGTCAACGTCTCCTACACGATTCAGCCTTTGTGCAAGCATCCTGGCTCTTCGCAGGGCTTCCATGACGAGATGCCCTCTCCCCCCCCTTCGCTCTCGACCAAGGCCATGCCACAAACCCCTTCCTGGATCCAGCAGGATGCCCCGAAAATGCTTCTCGAGGCCCACCTCAATCTCTCTTGGAGGAGCACTGGAAGGGGCCTGGAAATGACCGGGGGGTCCCAAACCACCAATGGTTTGATGGATCCAATCATGGGCCGGACGAGAACCCAACCTGGTGTCACTCTCGCTCCGTCTCGCTCCCCTGATTAGGGATCCATCCAGTGAGCGACGGCGAAGCTCACCGTCTGGGACGGGCGGGATCCATGGATCTGATCCATCCCCTGGTGCGCTGCGCTGGACAGGCCATCGAGGCATCCATTAGCATTAGCCTGCTGTAATCGATATTGTTAGAGGGTACATCGCGCTGCAGCATACGCGGACTGTGGGCGCTGGTCCCGGCAGCACGCCCGCTGCAAGCTGCCCTGGGGGAAGGCGCGCTGGGACGGGCAGGGCAGTCAGTGCCTGCCAGGAGGAGGAGGAACGCTCCCACCTGGGCCTGGTCTCCCGCCTCGCTCCACCACCTCCATCCAACCTCCACTACCTTTCTTCTTCCTCTCCTCCTCTCCATCGTCGTTCTTTCTCTCGTTCTCCAACTGTCGACCGACCGAACGACGACAGGATCCTTCTGTTTCCTCCCTCACAGAAGTTGCCTGCCAGCGGGCTCGTCATTCTTTTAACCTTGCACTAATACCGAGTCTTGATTTTCAAGCTCAAGTCATTCTTTTCGTTTTGGTCTGCTCTTGGCTTCATTGTCCGGCGACCTAGTCCTTCTTTACAGAACAACATTACAGCCCTTCGCTAGCAATCGCTCGCTGACCTTTTGGCACTTTTGACAACCTCGTTTCGAACCTTGCGGTATCTCATTTGCTTCTACGCTTCTCTCGATCCCTCGACGAAACGATTCAAGACCCCCGAGCGCCTTATCAACATTGGATACTATTCAGCCGCCTACCAACTTCGTCACCAACCGTAACTCTTAATGGTCAGGACAGTTGTGTTTGGATTTTAATTCAACAATTCTTAATATCTTTCTACGCCATCTCGAGAAATTGTTGTGGAGGAAAACCGTCTTTATCGCCAACACCCTCCTTGTTTTGAAAGCTCTCTAGTTGCATGCGCCGTCACAACAACTACACGCACCATGGAGCTCACTCACTATGGAGGCTACCGCCTTCAACCCCGTATCAACCTTGGTCGAGAGGTCACCCCGGTCCCCCCCGACACCACACATAAGCCACCGACTGGCGTCTTTCATCGACTTTTCGCACGATCGTCGGAAGACAAGTGCAAGGAAACGCCCGACTCCAACACCTGCGAGAAGCCTGTTGGAGGAAATCTGACCGTGCCGATCGTCGTCGTTATTGTGTATGCCATCAACTATACCTTTTTTGAGCAGTGCGGTTGGTGAACTTTCGGAATGAATTGCTGACTCTTATTGTGTAGTGTTGTCCTCGTGCTTATTGCAGGATTTCTGTTCTACCTTCATCGTAGAAATGTTAAGAGGTCTAGACTGGAGGATGCTCATGATCCTCACAAGAGCCTGGATTTTGGACTGGGCGATCAAAAGAAGTCGGCCCGCAGAAGCATCTTTATGGGTGGAGGCGGCGAGAAAGGTCTCCATCACAAGCAGAGCCAGCTCTCGATGGACATGAACCTCTCATCGCCTTACCTTTTGCCTCCGGGCCTGCAGCAGTCGCGCGAGTCACTTCATTCTTTGGCCAGGTCTCTCGGCAATGATAGCCAAGACCCCTACCAGTATGTTGCGACCTATACGCATAGCGAGACCGGCTCCGTGCGGTCCTTTAACCCCAAGGAATCCTCCTCGCTGTATACTAAATCAAGCAGCAACCGTACCTCTGTTGGAAAGGATCCCTCCCAAAGGATGCCTCCCTCGCGCATGAATTCTCTTCCCGAGACGCCCATCTCAGCCACGGATTCCAAGGTTGATCCCTTTGCCACGCCCAAAATGCCTGAGCCGACTCATCAGGCAAACTCGCCCGTCGAATCCGAGAAACCCAAGGCCCATACCGCTTCCATCGTCCCTGAGATCGGTGTCATCTCCGACTTTGATGAGAAGCACGACAGCTCCCTGGTTCAACAGCCACCAGTCGCCAGGACCAAGAGCCCCGAGTTTGAGCTTCCCTCTTTTGCTCAGACGACAGACACTGCCCAGCCCGCCAATGAGCCAACTGGTCTTGGACTGAACTTTGGATTCCCTAAGCCTGCCTCCCCAACTGTCGATGATGCTCCCCGTTCTGCTCCCCTTCCCAGCCAAGACCGACACAGCGACGGCTCTAACTACCAGGCCTACCAGCCCGTGGTTGACATTGCTGACTATTATGGAGATGACGACGACGAAGGCCGTGGCCGCACCATGCAGCGCAAATCATTCTTGCCCGACCAGTCTCAGCCGCAAGGTCTGGGAGTTCCTCAGCAGGATAACAAGCGATTGTCTGTTGGATTCCGCCCTCTGCCCCCGGATGAGATCACCGAATCCGAGGATCCTGAGTACCGTGCCAACCGTATCCGATCCTTCTACAAGGAGTACTTTGAGGATACCAAGGAGGCGCCACCACCTATGCCTCCCATGCCCCCCATGCAGCGAGGTAATGGCGGACCCATGCCACGAGGCAATGGCCAGTACTACGACGACTATAACCAAGGCAACCTTGGTGAGGCGGCGGCCTACTTTGACCCCGAGACGAATGCCTTTGTCATGCCCTATGCCGAGCCTGTCACTCGTCGTGCTATGACTCCTCCACCCTCCGGTCGCTTCCGTGGCGGACCCGGCCCCCGCGGTCCTCGTGGTCCTCATGGTCCTAACGGCTCTATCGGCGGCATGAGTGCGCAGAGCGGACCTCGAGGCCGATCTCGTGCCGGCTCTGCTCTCGGCCCTCGACCCGACTCGTCTGCGTCAGCGAGATTCCGTCAACCACCCAAGAAGAGGCTTCCTCCTCCTGCTCCTCTCCCCACGCTCCCAACCCCTTCGAAGCTGACGGATGATAACTTTGCTATCATCAACGCGGCCGATTTTGCGCCACCTGACCGTATCCGAGACAACGTCGCCGGCCGTTCTCAGAGCCCCTTTGGTGAGAGGCGACCCTACTCGCCAACAGTACCCGCAGCCGTGCCCCTCGTCGGTGCCTTTGACGAGCTCACCGCTCTGCCTAGCCCGTAAGTAAACATGGTGATGTAAGATGATTGGATGCTAATTTGTCATAGTCACTTGCTCCGCAAGTCAAGCACATTCACGGGTCTGGACTTTGCTCCTCCCAAGAAGTTCAAGGACGCAGATACGATGAGCGACGCTGGCAGCATCAGGAGCAACAAGAGCGGCATGTCTCAAGCACAGCTCGGCGCTATCCGTGCTGGAGCTGGACGTGTGAGCCGACTCCCTGGCGACACGGTCTTTACGCAGACGTCTATGCAAGACGCACTGAAGCCTTCATGGACCCTTCGGCCTTGATGAAAGGCAACAAGCAGCGCAACCTGTCTGTCTGATGTTTCGGGCAGTTTCTTTAGCGTTGGTTTTGTGGCATTCATTGCATTACTCCTACAGCGTGCGCCGGTTCTTGACAAATTCTTTGCACTTTCTTCGCTTCACGGGCGCATTTCAGGGTCATGACGACTTGCGATTTTCATCTTTCACATTCTTGGGCAACATGCAGGGCTTGCATATAGAAGGTTTTGGAAAACCACACGACAAACTAGATGACGACTACTGGCTTGGACAATGTCTAGCCATTGTATATAGGTCAATTGGATGTGGTGCTGTCATATCGAGCATCACCATCTCGTTTTTACCATGGACACTGAACCAGATTGATACTACTGACTGACGTACGAGTGATTTGACTGCTGTGGGGTGATTGGAGCGAATAAGTAACACGGGCTGGTATGGTCCAAGCCTGGCCTTGTCATGTTCTCAAATCGGCAGGTTGGTATTTAGAACCAACAACTCGTATAGTCGGCATTCCCGTGCCTGAGAATGGAGTTTCTATTCTAGAAGGACACGGGAAACCTGATGGTGACACGAAGTGGCGAACGAACGATATGCAACCGGAGGGATGGATATGCAGCATTCAGCAGCGCCAACTGGATGTTTTGAAGGATCAGCAAAGGCAGCGTCAAATCGAGGCATTGTTCCTAGGGCGATACGACTGGATGAGCAGACGGCAACACGCGATCAGATTCCTATTTTTAGGGGCCCTCCGCCTCCAAGGGTGGCTCTGGGTGGCTCGCGGCTAGCGTGGGATGGGCTGTACCGGGGGACAGACGATGAGTGGAGATTGGGCCGGGAGCTGGGTTGAAGGCTGTAGATATCTAAGATGGCGGTAGACACGGTACAGCGGCATGGGCTTGTTTGGATTTGATAGAGATGAATATGATATCAAGATGAGAGTGGCGGGTGAGTTATCACAGCTGCCAAGTCGATGCTTGATTGGATTAATAGAATGGCCTGTTAAGGTGTAGGGGTCCTGTTGGTGGCGGCGATGATTTTGGGGAGCGAGATTATCGCTGACGGGGTCTCGTTTAAGCCTTCTATTTGCTTTTGGAACCAGGTTGGCAGGTGGAACAAAGAAGACTTTCAATTGTCTTGTCTTGTCTTGAAGCCATGTTTTAGACGCATTCCTCTCTGTCGCGTTCTAAAGATCTAGATTTCTGCGGCCGCGGAGGGAGGTGTTGACGGATATTGTTGTCGATTTCGGTGGTGACCGGGGACGGCAGCGTTGCATCGCAACGGCTATTCAGGGCGTGACTCCGAGATTAGATGGTTCTTCTGTCTGCATCCTCTGGCCGGGTAAAGGACATTATTTAATATGTACGATTGCAATTCTGTGAATGTGATTCTTGACGAGTTGTCGGACCGTGACATTCCAGTGCAGCAATGGTAAATTGAAAGGGGACTCTTCGGCGGACAAACCGGCACTGATTGAATGCCAGTTGGGAAATTATCCCGCCCTCATCATGATGACGTCTCATGGAGATCAAAGATGGTGGTGAAACGACCGATTGACGCCCGTGTTAGGGTTGTTAGAATATGGCTATTTCACAAGCTTTTTGCAAAATTATTTTACTCTTTGCATGATTGGGGAGGAATTATCACCACAAAGTTGTTTAGCCTACGGAGCAGTCAGCGTGGGAAATGATGTCTCCATGGGACCATTGACGTGTACATATATATTAGCTGTAAGGGAGGGAGGGTAATCCCATGCTGTGTGTAAATTGCAAGGCAAGCCCAGCCTCGGTGGCTGGTGAGAAGTAATACCTCTTGCGTGCTGGTATTCATTCTCTGTCGAGGCGTTCGATAGTTGAACCCTCGAGTAGGACGTCGACAATGACAATCCGACAAAGAGAGTTGCATTTCCCTGTCAGCTGCCCCCTTCTTCATCCTACCTGTCGTCGAATCGTGCCGAGGGTGGGTAGATCACAGCCTCGCTGGGGCCCTCGTATCGATTCGGGGGGGGCTACACGGCGCTAGAGTAGAAAGGAACCTCCCCGGGGTGTGGCCGGTGGTCCAGAACTGGGCAGAGGCCGCCGCAGCATGTGGTCCATCATTCAACCCCTGCAGCGAGTCTGATCGAGATAGAAGGGGATTGGTACTTGCTAGACGGTGGTGGATGAGGTGAGAACCAAAGTACCTCGAGTTTTGATGGATCAAGGTCCTTCTCGTACCTGAAGCACGGAAAGGTACCCGAACGGCCGACGACGATTTGCTGCTGCTGCTGGTGTAGTGCTTGCTGCGGATGATGGATGCTCACTCATTGCTGATGATGTTCAGGAGCAAAAGCCCATCCCATCCATGTGCCACACACACTCTCTGTTCTCTTGGTTGCACTTCTATTTTTTCTTCCTTGTCTCTCTTCCGTCTCATCCTTCTTCTTTACTCTCTCACACACTCTCTTCTTCGTGATTGCTCGTCGCCGTTAGCAGAGCATCACGCCTCTTGCCGAAAGCAAACAGACACACCCGTCGTTCAAGTTCCAGGACGCGCCAGCTAGCTCCGTTTTCCCCATCAAACCGCCCAACTTTGCGACCGCCGCCTCGGCCGCCCGGCTTTTTCTTCACTTCTACCGATTTTCTCTTGACGCAAATTAAGCTTGACTGTTGGGACTAGCTGAAACTGGAACTGGTCTTCAGCTTGGAAAGAAGGAAAATAAAGCAGGGTCAAGCAAGACCTGCTAAAAAGTCCCAGTAACGGCCTCCACCCGCGCGCGTCCGCCCGCTAAACAAGGCCCTTACCAACTGCCCCCGGGCATTTCCTTTCTGAAGAGGAAAAAAAAAAAAGAACCCGCTGCTTGAGTGGGCTCCGTTGCTTGTGTTTATTGTCTCGCCTACAGCTCGCACCACCCCCAACCAACCACCCCCGACAGGACTCCGACCCGGCCTTACCTTTGACCTTCAGGCCCTACTCCGTACGCTTTCGACACACTCTCTCAACCTCTCCTCGTACATCCACAGGCCGACTTCGAAACACCACCTGTTCGTCCTTGACTCGCCTCGCGACGAATCGCCTCTTCGCCCTCTCCGCATTCTCATTCTTGAGACAAGGGGGGAAATCAACCAGAAAGATCGGTCAAACAATTCAAGGTACGTTTTGTATCACGATACTCGTGCATTCTGCCATGCATTCGCCCGTTGTCATCCCTCCACGCGACCATCGCCCCCAGTCTCCATCTCCAGTCTGGGCAGGATGCTCCTGATCCGCAACCATCGCCAATATTGTCCCCCTCCCCATTCCGAACCCATCGCGCTTAGATGGCCTATCCCATCCGTCGCCTCCCTTTTGTTGATGGTCTTCCGCTCCTATCGCTGCTTGATGCACTACCCCCTCGTCCTTGCTTTGTCTACATCACCCGACTACTGCTGCTGCACCATTATTCAACAAGCATCTACTTGGATCCAAGTATCATCGTCCCGCTGACATGTTCCTCAATCCCAGGCAACTGCCCAGAGTGAGCACGCCGGGCTTCGTCATGTCCAACACTACGGGCCAGGGCGACTCCCAGCCCACCGAGGCGGCCTCGGTGCCAAACCCTCAACCATCATCTCCCGCCGACAACAACAACACCGACAACAACTCGGCCGATAATAACTCGCCCTCGACTGCGGGTAACAATTCTCCTACATCTGCCGCCAACCCGCCGGCCACTTCAGATTCAAACGACAACAATGCGTCAGCTACCAACAATGAGCCAAGTGACTCTCCAACTGAGGCACCCAGTCCTTCAAACAGTCCCAGTCCAACACAGGCCAATTCGGCAGAAGAAACACAAAATGCACCATCCTCTGATGATTCAAGCCCTTCACCGACGGAGAACAAGCCCGAAACTCAAGCTACTCAATCAAACGCGCAACCGACTACCGAAGAGTCCAAGCCATCTCCTACGAATGACAACAACAACGATAGCTCTAGCGAAGACAGCCAGCCGTCTGCCTCCGAAATCACCACATCCGAAATCCTATCGACCATCGTTACAATTACAGGCAGCAAGGGCCCAGAAACTAGCATAGTGCTGGTTACGGCTATTAGGACTCAAAGGGTCACCGCTACTGAAGCGTCTGCCTCAGCGACGAACTCGGATGATGCCGAGGCCATTGATTCTTCCAAGGGCAGCGGTGGCGGTGGTGGACTGGACCAAAAGAGCAAGGTTGCCATCGGCGTTGCCGTTCCAATTGCTGCCATTGCCCTCCTTGCTCTCCTCGGACTGTTCTGGTGGAAGAAGCGGAAGACCAGAAGGCAGGCCGAGGAGGAGCGTCGCAAGGAGGTTGAGGATTATGCTTACAACCCCAATGCCGACCCTACGATCCCAGCTGTTGGAATGGCGGATGGCGGTTATGAGATGAGGGAAGATGGATCCTCAGGCTACCGTGGTTGGGGCAACACCACAATCGGCTCGACCGGGCGCAAGGCCTCCACCACTATGTCTGGTGGCGTTAATGGCCAAGCTTATTCTGACGTTACTTCTCCGACCCGGGGTAACTTTTCGGATGCACGATCGGGTGAGCCCCTGATGGACGGCTCACACTCTCCAGAGGGTGAGATCCTGGGAGCCATGGGCCCCTCAGCTGCCAACAACCGTGGCGCCGAGGTGCACCGCGGACCTTCCAACGCCTCATCTTCATACAGTGCCGCTGCCCGATCCGATGCCTCAGACCCCATGGGAGTACCATATGGCGCCGGTGGCTCGTACTACGATCAATACACTCAGAACCCATACACCGATAACGTACCACAGCAAGCGGTTATCCGAGACAACCCGGCTCGTCGAAACACACGCATTGAAAGTCCCTCTCACTACCCTCAACAGAGCGCGGGTATCTCTCAAAACTTTTAAACCTCTCTCTCACTTTGCTCTTCCTCACGGTGCTATCAACACTCGCTGGCCACCGTCTCCTTTTTGCTTTTCCTTTGTGACTACAAAGATACCCACATCCTGTCGAAAATCTCTCGCTAGGAAGGTGGAGTGCACTGCACTGAACCGGCGTTTGAACAACAAAAAGGCGTCTGCTTTGTTTCTGGACGAGAGGCAAATCTCGACAAAGTTGCAACCTAATCGCTCACTTATTTACTTTTTCCTCATTTGAAACCTGGGAGTTTTATTCTCAACGGTGTTCTGTACCACCAACATCCAAACGGAGCATTTTTTGGCTTTTTATTCCCTTTTTTTCTCAGTTTTGTTTTTGTCTTGTTTTTGCTTTGAAAGACAATAACCAAGAGGGTGGTTCTTCAGCCGCCTTCTTTTTATCCCCTTGACTATCTACGCTTATATCATGAGTTGGAATTTGTACATACGATGAACGGCAGATCAAGCCTCGAGGCTTTCTTTTATCCAAGATGATTCAAAGGGCTGTATCAAGCCCCAAGTAATGGTTGCAGGAGAAGGAGAGAGGTGGTGGTGGTGGTGGTGAAAACCAAAAAGCAAGGGATTCAAAGCCTCGGGTTGAGTCTGTTGGTGGATGTGAGAGATGGTTTGTTGAATCATCCAACGTGGGACGGATGATGGACCTTTTTAGAAGAGTTGATTGAATGATGCTTGGATTTGGGTCTATAGAGGTACATAGCGAGCGAATTGGAAAGAAATGTTTTTTATATCTTGGCTGTAGTCACTGAGAGTGCTAAGCCGTCACCAGTTAGTTTATCCAGGGACTCTGAACCATATATACAACTGAATATCTGAATGATCATCATTTGTTCTCAATGCAAAGAAGAGGCCATCACCAATTGATCTACCCAGGCACCTTGAATCACACAACTGACAATGGCTGACAATGGCCTCAATTCTGGTAAACAACTACTAACTGATGCGGTTTTGTACAACTTGATTTTTAATACAGCAACTTTGCGCGCCAACGCCCCCCGATAAGCTCGCAAACCAACGCCCTCGCAAATACTCGAAGCAACAATATCTCAGTAACAAACAAACAAGCACATAACCAGTGCCAAACTCCAATCCTTTTCCAACTCCTGGCTCAAACCAAATCAGTATAACACGCCAGCTCAAAGGCCATTACGCAATCTAATGGTCTTGCGACCCATCCCTCAAGACATCTCTCAAAACCTGCTGCTCCTTGCGCTTCTTCTTCTCTGCCCACTCTCGACTCGCGATTCTAGAGCGTTCTGCCGCTTGCTCACGCGCCAACCGAGTAGCAGCCTCACGCTCTCGTCTCTCTCGCTCTCTGTCGCGTTGAAAGCTGGTGTTGTCTCGCTGGAAGATCTCCTTACCACGGAGCTTGAGCTGATGTGCTTCCTCGGCAGTGAGCGTCGTCCGTTTTCCGCTGGCACTTCCTCCGGATGTCGACGTGCCCCTACTAAGGTCCTCGCGTGATGTTGCGGTAGAGAGCCGGCCGCGGCCATGAGAGGACTTGGCCTCCGGATGAGGGACCGCTCGTGAGCCTGCAACGGACAATCGCTTCGTTTTGTTCTCATGCTTTGCTCCATCTTCTTGAGAAAGCTTGCCCTGGCGGGCCAGGCTAGCAATTGTCTCCCGCGGAATGCTAGCCGGCGTGATACTAGTGCGCACGGGTCTTGCCTTGAACTCGCGCTTCTTTTGCTCCTCTTCCTCCTGCGCCTTGAGACGGGCTTCACGTTCCTCTCGCTTCCGGCGGGAAAAGGCTTCTCCTGGAAGCTCAAAGTTGGCCTTGGTGGGTGGCTTACTAGACTTGGGTCTCGGAGGAGGCACATAAGCTTTCTGAGAATCAGCCTGGGCACGACGAGCTTCACGCTGTTCCTTGAGCCGTCGAGCAACAGCCTCGCCAGGAAGTTCAAAGTTGGGAACAGTTGGGGGCTTGGTCGACTTGATAGGTGCATGGAGCGGGGCGGACTGAGACATGGAAAGTCGACCTCGCGAAGGTTGCGATCTGAGTTTGGGTGCAACCTCTGGTGCCTCATCCTGCTTCTTATCGCGAAACACGAGTGAGGTCGATCGACGAAGCGTTGGTGCCGACTTTGCGGATGGCTTGACACGAACTGTAGCAGACATGCCGGCTATCGAGACCCTCTTTGAGATGGTTGCCTTCTTACTTGTGGGCGGTGGCTCAAGATGCTTGCTGCTAGATTTGCCATTGGCCGGCGAGGCAATCCGTCTCGGCTGAGTCACAGCATCGATAGCCTCAAGCTCGTCCTCGAGCTTGTCGAGCTCCTCTAGAGAGTCTTCGATGCGAGGTATCGAGAAGGAACCGTTCCTCGAAGAGTTGCTATAACTACTGCTCCTCTCACTTATCAAGGTGAGCGACGGCGAGACGGCCTGCTCCGTCACCTCCACCACTTCAGGTACTTTTAGTGGTGGGTTGTGGTGAGACTCATAGAGTGGTGGAGGAACCAACGACATGTTGAGCTGATGGTCCAGTAGCTGGGAGTAATCAAAGCCCAGGGATGAGCATTCAGTGAGGGTCAAGGGAGTCGCTAGAAGCGAGAATGTGTCAGTCGAAGGAATGGCGGAGGAAGTAGGAAGGGTTTCGCGCGACAGCAAGTTGCAGCCATAGACCTTGGTCTCGTTCTCGCCATCGTCGGAGGAGCCGTGGTCGCTGGCGTAGCTAACTGGTGCCGGGCAGGCTAGTAGCCAGTCGAACTGACCTGCCAAGTGTTCCTGGTACCGTTGGTGAGGTGACTCTTCAACCTTGAAGTTCAACAATGGATGGTTCTCGTCGTTGGTTACTACCAAACTACGTCAGTATGTCGTGACAGACCAAGCGAGCGGGTGCGCAAAGGACCGATATGAGACTGGAGAAGGTGATTATGGAATTGGTAAAGGGACTGACCTCTGCGTGACTGCTGGCTGAGCGAGGAGGGCGAGCCCACGGTCGCAGCAGACCTTGGAATGGACAAAAGGGTCGATTCTTCCAAAACCACATCCAAAGGCTCAAAGGTGTCCGAGTCGACTTGGGGGCGGCGTCGAAAGCCGCGGGACAGGGAGGATCTTGACTTGACGGGTCCGCCCTCTAGGTCTCTGGTGAGGAATGAGTCGGGGGCTTGAGCGTACAAAGGGGAGCTCCGGGCAAGACTCTTGTTGTGGACCTGATCAACGGACAGCTCTTGAAGCTTCCCTCGAAAGGCCGGAGAGGAAGAGGGGATCGAGGAGGGAACTGAATTGGAGTCGACATAAATATCCTGGCTCGTCACGGGCCCCGGGCAGGCCAGGGCCGTGGCAGTGGCGCGTTGGACTCGGGGTTGGCCCATGGCTTCCGAACAATGAGAGCCTCGCGCAGCGAGTCGCTGGTGGGATGGGCCTCGAAGGAGGTCTTGATGGGTCCTCGGGAACCCTTGCGAACCCTGGGAACGTGGGATGCCGGGGCTCTGAGAGGTCCAAAGACAAGAGACTCAGATTGAGGCGCCACCAGTGTCCGGTAGAACAGGGGAAAAGTCAGGGAGCAGATGTGTAATTTCGCAGATGAGCAGGGATCAAGACGCCGGCCGACAGCGGGGCCCTGTCTGACTTGTGATGGACAGGAATTAGCGAGAATGAAGTATGCTTGGGCGGGCTCTTGAGGCAATAGAGCCGTGGAAGTTGGTGATGAATCGATGAAGACGAAGCGACCAAAATATCTAGCAATCAATGGTGAATGTGTGATGTTGAAGAGGAGAGAAAGTGGATGTCAGCAGTTTGAGGTTAGAAAAATAAACAACAACAAAGAACCACGGCAACCACAGCTTGGACATCCACCTTCCTGCAGTGCAACAACTTCTGTCGTCACTGCCACAGCATCGCATCATTCTTATATAGACGACTTCCCCTCTTCAAATGCATCATTCAAAGGGAGCCGGCGAAACCTTCTCCTCATCTGGTTCCTCTTGGCAGTTCCATTCCACACAATATCTACACTCTGACTGAGTCGCAACCCAACGGACAGCTCGGTTTCATTTGGAGCTTCCTCGTGTTGCGTCTCTATTTCATTGGCCAAACCCTCTGGCCGTGGCTCCAGAGCGGGAGGCCCGCAGTAGCTGCTGCACCCCGAATTGATAGTGCACGCACATGCACAACACTGGCGATGATCCACAGCTGGAGAAGAGACTGGAGACAACATTCAACCCTCGATTTGTCTCTAAATCGACATTGGTTTACATTATGGACAGCGCAATATTGGAGGATACGATCTGGCTAAAGTTGGCTTCAATTTTGGCCCCCAAACTAAGGTGGTCTCTAGCTGAAGCCATCTGGTAAGGGGTAATCAGGAACCATGCAGCCACTTTCATTCCTTGCAAACGCCAACACAACTTGGGCTATCAATCTCATCAAAGCCGACAGGCTCCCACCGTAATCATACCCTATATCTGGCAATATGATTCCAACCAGGAACTTGGTCTCCAGGATCTGGAGCTGCCATTTTCTCCGCTGTCCGGGTCCAGAGTCCAAGTGACAGCTATTGATAACCACCTATTCGGCAAAGCTGAGTGGCTGGAGCCTTTGGAGGACAATGACACTACCACCAAGTCCATCGGAAACCTTGAGTACCGTCTCAGATCCAAGCTCAACCAGCGAATGGGGGTTGTGCATGTGAGAATTCGAATTACCTCATTGTCCAATTCGTTCTTAGTCTCAACCCTTTCTGTCGTCGAATGCATCGCCTTGGTTGACATGGGTAGGGAGGTACCCTATAGGGGAGTCCTTCTGAACAACTGGGCTGGTTTTTGAGGATTATCCTCCCCTGTGCATCGCTAACAAACGACTCGAAGGATTGATCTTGAGCCGTGAAGGGCGCAATTAGTTGCCAAAGTGACGCATCTGGCGGACAGCCGCCTTGAGGTTGATCGCCTGGCTATCATGGAGACGCTTCGGATGGGCGTTCAACTTTCTCGATATCACAATGTCCTAACTTTCATGACGCTTGTTCCTCAGCGGCAGCCTCGGCAGCTTCGGCCTGGGCCTGCAATGCTGGTGCATGTTCCGTCGGAATTCGTACTAAAGTTTGGGGAAGCGGTCCTGGTTGGTCTTGTGACTCCTCGGCGGGAGCATTGGCTGCCGTCTTTGCAAGTTTGGCTGTTCAAAACAAATCAGATAAATCCTCTTTTGTGTAACATGTCGAGACATACAAGAAGCCATGTTGATGGCACGTAGCACATTATGCCAGTTTCCAACAACCGCCGCAATAGCTAGCAAGTGTTAGCCAGAGCACGCCGTAAGTGACAACCTCGTCATGTACCCTCTGTTCCATCAGACAGCGTCGATAACTTCTGCTCAAGAGCTTCCATTTGTGTTGCGACCGCGGCACTTAAATCTCGAAGTTCTCTCAGATTCTCAAGCTCGGCCTTCTTTTCTTCGATGCGTTGCAAGAGAGCCGGCGACTGTCCGGCGCTGGATGCAGCCGAGGCGCTCGGGTTGCGCATATGGCCCGAAAACGATCGCGTAGGATAGGACATGGTCGCGGTTAACGAGCTTCAAAACACCATTCGCGTCTCTTTGTCGTCAACTTGAACATCGCGTCTCTGCATGACTGATGGTGGGGTTAAACCGAGGGGTTACCTGAATGAGCTGGCTCCCCGGCAACGGGTGGGTCCCCGAAGAAACATTCCGCGCTACGTCAAAACCGGTAAAAGTAAATAATGATACAACCAGAAATTCCATTCGCAGACCGACACTTGACAACACCCTTTGACTTGCTCCAAGACAAACCAGCTGCCCTTTGACAAACTCCACAGCCAAAGTACCCAAGTCCATTGCTCACCGCCTCTGCATTATGAGCTATGGCTAGGTTGAATGAACCCCCCGTGCCTACGGACAGCCTTGAAACGCGTAAGTTGCATCTCAGGAACTCTTGTTCTTGCATCTTGCCTCGGCGCCAACTCACCATGTCTCTGGATATAGTTCGAAAGAAGCTGCTGCGCCAGAACCGTGACCTTGCCAAGTCAAACAACATACGAGCGCTTCGAATCCGAGAACTCGAGAATGATTGCGCCTGCATGCTGTCCGAGAACCTCGAGCTCCGGGGCCGCATCCTGGAGCTTGAGAAGGAGCTCGAGGACAACGATGCCAGGAGAATTGCTGACCACGCACTCGCGATCAAGGCTAAGCTAGAGTCCCAGCTCACAGAATGGGGCACCCTTCTTGCTGGCCTTGGTCTGGAGCCTCCCATGAAGCGACATTCCCCTCGCCCTCGAAAGTCACAACAGCAGCCGAGATTGAGCTTCAGCTCTGCCCGACCTAGCCCTTCTCAACGGCGACTACGAGACATTGCCCGAGAGATCGAAGAACTAGGACACATTCAAGAGACCAAGGCATATCCTCGCCAGTCCATGAAGTAAGTCCCCCAGCCACCCCGGATGGGGAAACATACTAACAAACTCGCAGCCCCGAAGAAATTCTTGCCCTCCGATCAGTCGCCGAAGATGCCAACTCCCCTGATAGCGTTGATTCTCCCGAGCTTGGTCCTCCTCCTATGTCACAGTTCATTGATCAGGACCCCGTAAAGGTTGACTCGCCAAGCCGGTCGCGTTCTGCACCGGTTCAAGAAAGCCCCAAGACAAAGCTCTCGCCACCCGAAGCCCTTGAATCACCACACAGCACCAAGATGATGCCACGATCCCCGTCGCCGGAGAAGAAGAAGAGGGAGGTGGTTGTAGAGCCGCAGGAGCCGCAAACGGAGACAACTGTACCAGAAAAGAAAGCCGTCGAAACGAAGCCACTTGAGACCAAGGAACCAACCCCTCCTGTGGCTGATACCTCATCCATTCAACCTGTCAAGACCGGATCGAAGCGAAAATTCGCCGCCAGAGACGACCTGGGAACAACTAAGCCACAGAGGATAAACAACGAAAACGAAAACGCTCGAATCATTGCCGAAAAGCCATCGATCCGTGAGAAGGCTGGAGGCAGGACACTGAAGGAGCTCACTAGCATGAGGAAAGAAGCTCGTGAGAAGGCAAACGCGACAGGTACAAGGAAGCCTCTCGCGGCCAAGAGTACCAACGACGATATGACTTCACCAAAGAAGACATCCAAGCCACTGGCTTTGGACGAAGTTGCCGCGGCCAAGGCTGATCTTGTCAAGTCCAAGGTCACTCAAGATCGACCGAAGTCGAGGTCCAAAGTCCTGCCTCCCATCACCATCGAGGCTGTGCCCGATCTTGAGCACACTGCACCAAGAGTTACCGACCTATCATGCGAGCTCGGAACACCCTTGACTCAACAAGTCCTCCTGTCTCCCAACTCGCCGGATAGTGCCGTTTCGTCGGAGGCAGGACGTGGAGGAACCCCTCCACCCATTGACATCAACGCGAGCCGGGAACCAGCGAGGCCCAGCAGACGGAGTAGGGCAGCAGTCAGCTACGCGGAACCGAACCTTCGAGACAAGATGCGACGACCCACCAAGGAGCTTCTCGATGCTGTGACAGGCGAGGGCAAACATGCTCGACGATCGAGTGTAGCCGACCTGACTGCCCCCGACACGGCCAAGGTGAAGCGCGAGACCGATGCCAGTGACTCCTGGAAGAAGCTTCCTTCTGCGAGTTCCACGAATGCCGAGGACGAGCCTGGGAGCATCCCTGCCAGTCCACTCGCCGGAAAGGGTTCACCGCCAGAGCTTCCACAGTCTGTCGGTGTACGAGGAGGTAGACGCTCATCGATGATGGTTCAAGGGCTTGCCGCGGACCGTGTTGAGTCGAATGAAGCCAAAGACATCAATGATGAGTCAACCCCTGACTCGACCAGTCTGAGCGAGGTAGATGTGTATGACTTTACACCCTCCTCACCTCAGCCTGAGAAGCAGGAACCTGCTGAACCGAAGAAGAGGGCTGCTGGTCGGCGAGCCACGAGGCGCGTGTCGACGGCTGTCCATAGCGAGGAAGGCCTCGCGATCAGAGAGCGAGCCTCATCGAGGCGAAGGAGTATGATGCTGTAATGATGCATATTGCAATAGCCGGAGTTTTAGAGAATTGGGCGTTTATGGGAGTCTGTTGCTTGTCAGCGCTGATGCCTTTTGATGGGAAAAAGATTCAGACTGGTTACATGCCCAAGATACCTCTACACCAAGCGATGGAACGTTGTTTTTATTTTTCTGAATGATTGTATTTAATGTTGATTCCGTGTTGGATACCTCACATGCACCCGATTAGAGACTATGTTGACGGTCCGTCTAAGCTGGACCATGCATATCGAGTATGAGCGTCCCTTGTCTCTTTTGGAGTAGTATTTATAACGTGCTCCTTGAAGCTGTGATGGGTATAGATTCTTTGGTCTTTAATGCATCGCTGAATGTCTTTGAGTGGTAGCCCCCTATTGCTCCCGTGCTCATCTCATGATGATCCTCCTGATGGCTCAACCGGCTTTGTGTATGTCACCTTCTCCACCGCTACATTCTCATTACCCTTATCATCCTTCCGTAATTGGTAAACGTAGAGAGTGAGGGAGATTCCCTGGACCTAATGACATTGTCAATATGCAATGGCCTTGAACATGTCAGTCACAGAACACCTACATCCATCAAGCAGAAGCTTGGTGTCGGCTCCTCGCCGTCCTTGCCCCAGCTTCCAGGGAATGCGCCAGTTGCGCTTCCCGGGTTCACAAAGAACTTGTCCATGTACTCGAAAGCATCGAAGCGGTGAGTGCCACCCCAGCACAGAACATCCACATCCAGCTTGTTCGCCTCAGCCAGGAGCAGATCGGGCTCGTTGGAGACGAGAGTGAAGCCCTCGAGGAATCCAATCCGGAGGCTGCCGTGGGTGACGACTTGGGTCAGGGGGAGGGAGGTGGCCTCGACGTCATAGCGGCCCTTGACGATCTTGAGGTCCGGAGAGATCGATCGCAAGTACTCGTACGTGTGCTTGTCGGTCAGGTTTCCGAGGCAGAGCGTCTGGCCGATCTTGCCGGGGGCGAGGAGCTTCTTGAACTGCGGATGGTGTGTTAGCGAGCGCGCGGCCCTTGAAGCATGTTGCGGTCGCGGCGATTTACCTTGGCGGGAATGTCAAGCGCCCTGTCAGGGATGTGAAGATCCCCTATAACGAGAATGAGGAAAGCCATGGTGTCTCTCTGGCGCCGGGAGAGAAATGAAGCTGTAGATGGGTTTGCGCTTTACAAGTCGAGAGGCGCAAGCTGCCAGCCCCTTGAGCTCCGTGAGGCTGGAGGGGCAGTTCGAGACAAGGTACGTAGTGGTCCGGATACAGCGGTAAGATGGAAGGCAGCCACATCGTCATAACGGGGGCTGAAAATGTGGCTCAGCACACAAGCACCAGCCACTCCTTCTTATCGGACAAGTCGGCGGGGTGCGATAAGCAATTTTCAAAAAATTTGGGATTTTGCGGGCTTGAGCCTGGGGTTCTGCTTTCACCGAACCTACAATCCCAGTCTTTGGTGGTTGCGGATTGAATTGCTCTACAAAGATGGCGACCCCTTCTCTGGCTGAAAAGCTGGACAAGATCAAGTCTCCTGGCTTGCAGAGTCAGAAGAGGGTACGTATCTGCTTGTTGGGAGCTATCCAATGTTGAGAGTCGCATACTGACATTTGTACTAGACTGTCGTTGTACTTCAGGCCGTCGAGTCGACTCTCAAGGAGCAGAACGAAGCGCCCACGCCCACCGGATACTTTGCGGCTCTGTTGGCTCTTCTTCAGCAGGCCAACGCCAATGACACAGTAAACCCGGAACTGGCGACACCTACCGTCTACCTCCTCGACGTTATTACGCCTTTTGCCCCGCAGCCTCTCCTCCGAGCCAAGTTCACCCAGATCCTGACCCTTCTCGCTCCCGTGCTTCTGCTGCAGGATGCCGAGCCTCTTCTGTTGCGATCATCCATAGGATGTCTCGAATCGTTGCTGTTGGCGCAGGATGCTGCTTCTTGGGAACTCTCGGTTTCTCAGATTGGTCCTCGAAGGGCTGTTGCAGGACTTTTGAACATGTCTCTTGACCACCGACCCAAGGTCCGAAGAAGGTCGCAGGATGCCTTGAAGAAGGTCCTTCGAAACCCGCCCCCGAGCCCTTCCCTGGATCACCCTGCCGCCGACATGTGCGCCCAGACTGCTCTGAAGAACCTCGAGGACCTTGCGACCAAGGTCGCACAGGCGCGCAAGAAGAAGTCGGACGCCCACGATCCCGCCATGATCCACGCCCTGCAATTGGTAAAGACGGTTGCGGCCGCGAGCGGTGGCTGGCCTACCAAGAAGATCGAGTCACTGTGCGAGCTGCTGCTGGGTATTGCGAAGAGCGGAAACGAGTACATGACCATGGCCGCTTTCGAGATTTTCGAGATGATCTTTGAGGGCATGACGGATGAGGTTTCATCAGCTAAGCTGCCGCGACTTATGGAGATCATCTCTGAGCTTCGTCCGGCTGCCAACGACACCCAGCTTGTTCCCCCGTGGCTCGCAATTCTGTCCCGAGGATACGACGTATCGGCGCAGGTCGAGCCTGATGAGACTTTCCAGAACCTCCCCCAGATGTTTGACATGGTCGCGCAGTTCCTCGAGACCCCGTCTGAGAATATCCGAATTTCGGCTTCCGAGTGTTTGGTCTCTTTCATGGTCAACTGCGTCCCTCGACAGGTCATCCTCGAGCCCTCGATTTACGATGAGAAGGTTCTGGAGAAGGTTGCAAAGACGGCAGAGTCACTTCTTACCGTTCAGTTTCAGGCTGCTTGGCTGCAGACATTCAACGTTTTGGGCGCCATGTTCGACTCGTTGAGGTGGAGGTCGTTCCCCATCATGATGAATGTCACTAAGACGATTGGTGAGATCCGAGAGAACGGATCTTTCCGTAACAAGAAAGATGCCGATGAGGTTATCGGCAAGGCCATCCGGGCCATGGGCCCTGAGGCTGTCCTCTCTGTCCTCCCCCTGAACCTGGCAAAGCCTGCGAAGGGCCAGCCAGGCAGGGCTTGGATGTTCCCTATTCTCCGAGATTATACCAGCAACACAAACCTGGCCCACTTCAAGAGTGAGATGGTACCGCTAAGTGAGCTCATGTTCCAAAAGGTTTTGGACCACGGACAGGCTGAGAAGACAATGGAGGTCAAGATCTACGAGACGGTGGTGCAGCAGATTTGGTCTACTCTCCCCGGCTACTGCGATCTGCCTTTGGACCTGACCGAGGCATTCGATCAGGGTTTTGCTGAGATTCTGGCCAACCTTCTCTACAAGCAGGTTGAGCTGCGGTTGGATGTCTGCCGTGCGCTCAAGACTCTGATTGAGTCAAGCCAGGCTATTGCTGAGATTCAAGATGAGGAGGAGGACTTAGTTCTTCAGAGCAGAGTGAGCCGTGCTACTGCCAAGAAGAACCTCGAGTATCTCTCCCAGTTCGCGGGCAACATGCTCGCTGTTCTGTTCAACGTCTACACACAAACCCTTCCTCAGAGCCGAGGCCCTATTCTTCAGACCATCAACACTTTCCTCAGCATAACACCCAACGGAGAGCTGATGGAGACGTTCGACCGGGTTAGCAAGATGCTGGCGGCAGAGCTGCAGGCGGAGAAGCCTGCCGAAAAGGAGAAGGGCCAGAAGTCCAAGGACCACATGCCTTCAACAGCCCAGACTCTGATGGACCTTGTCATCACAATGTCTGTCTACCTCCCCCGAGACAGCTTCGCCGCTCTCTTTGAGATTGCGGCTGTCATTATCAACAAGGAGGATGAGCCCCAACTGCAGAAGAAGGCATACAAGCTCATCCCCCGCCTGGCAGACTCTGAGATCGGCAAGGCCGCCCTTCAAGAGCGTAGCGCCGAGCTCCAGAACCTCATCTTCTCGAGCACTGAGAAGGTTTCTGCTCCTGCTCGACGAGAGCGTCTCGCTGCCGTTACCGCCCTCCTCCCCTTTATCCCCGACACCTCTCTTCACTTCATCCCCGCCGTCCTCAGCGAGGTTGTCATCTGCTGCAAGGAGAACAACGAGCGTGCTCGTGAGACTGCTTACGAGCTGCTTGTCCAGATGGGACACCGTATGGCTGGTGCTAACGGCGTTCCTATCGACAACAGCAAGGTCCCTCACATGCCCAACGATGCTCCAGCTGGAACCGCCAACATTGAGGAGTTCTTCACCATGGTTAGCGCTGGTCTGGCTGGTAGCACACCTCACATGATCTCTGCCTCTATCACCGCCATCAGCAGACTCCTCTACGAGTTCCGCAGCGACCTGAGCGAGCAGACTCTCTCCGACCTGGTCCAGACCATGGATCTCTTCCTCACGTCCAACAACCGCGAGATCGTCAAGAGCTGCCTGGGCTTCGTCAAGGTCTGCGTCATCAGCCTCCCCGTCGAGCTCATGCTCCCCCGGCTCTCGACCCTCGTGCCCAACCTCATCGTCTGGAGCCACGAGCACAAGGGCCACTTCAAGGCCAAGGTCAAGCACATCCTGGAGCGCATGGTCCGCCGCTTTGGTTATGACAACATCCACAACAACTGCCCTGAAGCTGACAAGAAGCTCATTGTCAACATCCGCAAGACTAAGGAGCGCACCAAGAAGAAGAAGGATGCTGCCAAGGCCGCCCATGACGGTGATGATAGCGATGAGGATGATGGTCAGCCTAAGCGCCAGTTTGAGAACGAGTACGATCAGGCCCTCTACAGCAGCGACTCGGACGCCTCAGACGACTCTGATGACGAGGCTGCTCCTCGGCAAAAGAAGAAGGCTCAGAAGGGCGGAAAGACCTACATCATCGAGGATGATGACGAGCCCCTGGATCTCCTGGACAAGAAGGCCCTCGCCAACATCTCATCCACCAAGCCCGTCAAGCTCCGCAAGCCCCAGCGCACAAAGGCCAAGTACGACCTCGACGGCAAGCTCATCCTCGGCAAGGACAGTGACGACGAGATGGAGGTTGACGACCCCAACCCCGAGGCTTCAGGCGTGGGAGCCTACGTCGCCGCCCTCAAGGGCAAGGACGTTGCCAAGCGTGGCCGTGGAGGCAAGCTCAAGTTCTCCAACCGACGCACCAAGGACGACGACGACGATGAGGATCTCGAGATGGATCGGGGTGACGCTGCTGCTGTCAAGAGCAAGCTTAGCCCTGGACGGGAGAGGGGCGGAAGGGGTAACTTCCGTGGCAGGGGAGGACGAGGAGGACGTGGAGGTGGCGGCGCGAGGAGCGGAAAGGGAGGCATCTCAGCTGGACGAAAGGGGTTGGGTGTTGAGAAGAGGCATGGCCCGTCGATGGGTGGCGTGGGCAAGCCGAGGAGAGGACGCAACTAGATGCCATAGTTATACCCCCCTTATTCCATGTCGTCATGTTCGGGCATTCATTTTCTAGTTTAGATCACGCACAGGCAAGTTGTTTCAGGGCAAATAAAAGTCTCAAGTTACAGGTATTCGAAACCAAGCTTATGCATTGTGATTGAAACAAGACTTCTACATAATTCTTCAAGTCAGAGCATCGCTTGCTCTCTGGGTATCATTCCATGCTGCCGTCGAATTCGAGTACAAAATCTAATCAGGGGGCAAGTCACTGGGACTGCCCCAGCCTCGCCATGCTCTTTCAGATACAGTAAGTGATATCGATGCCAGTGATGCCAACCAACTCCTCCATATGTGTCGTCATCGCGCCCAAGCTCTTTGTACAGTGATTCCAATGAGACAGGTGAGCACATAGCTCATATTACATCATGTCGTCAAGTCGTGTGTCGTCTCATCATCACTCGAGAACGATGACGTTCTCGGGTTGCCGTGGATGTAGAGGGTGCGTCCGGCCATTATTGGGTGCAAGTGGTGGTTGACTCCCGTAGTGTCGCTGCATCGGCTCCCGTTGCTGGAAAGCCTCTGGGGGTTGTTCTTCAATCCGACTACCTGTTGTGAGTATCCATCTCCACCTCTAGAAGTAGTCGTACTTACATCTCTCGATACGGTTCGCGTCTCAATCCTTGGTGATCACTCATCATAAGACGAGCCTCTGAATTGGGTGCGTCATGGTGAAGAAGATGGGGCTCTCTCCCAACATATCTCCAAGAACCTAAGGGGGGACCTGAGAGGGGACCTGAGGCTGCTGGCAGATACGGCGCAGAACGAGACTCTACCAAAATAGGGCGTGGTCGGGCCTCTAACGGAGGGGCACGAGTGATGGCAATTGCCTCAACCCCCGCGCCGTGTTGACTATCATGCAAGACTCGTGGCCCCTCGTGCCAGGAAATAGGTCGAGGCTCCTCAACCCTCCGAGTCTCACGCGTAGGCCGTCTATACTCGACAAATCCTGGATCATGGGCCGCTAGGCGGGTTCCATCTCCACGGACTGGGACCCGTTGGTAGAACCCGCCACGATCTTCCATAACGATCGGTGATTCACGATCTCCTGGTCTTGGGGCCTCCTCATAAGGCCGTCGACTTACAGCAATGGCCGGAGGGGTGTGTAGTGCAGGCCTCGCGTCAGAGAGATACAAGGGGGCAGTAACAATACGGCTTCCATTGCGAGGGGTATAGTCCTGTTCGCGATGCAGCACGGCTTGTCCAGGACCATTGAGACGCCCATCGTAGGGTCTGTCCTCAGGGACGAAGCGGTCAGGGCGGGATATGTGAGCTGGGTCATCTCTCACATTGAGGCCACGCAATGGAGAGGAAACTGTGGATGGATGTTGTATCCTGGAACCAAAAGGGAGCTCATCCCTGAATGCCTGGGGTCTGGGCGGCACTGTACGTATAAAAGAAGGCTTCATGGCTTCGGGAGATGCCGGTTCAATGGATGGCACCAGCATGTCTTGCAAGCGGCTGGTAATCCTCGACACCGGTCGACGGGTGACAGGTGATGACTCATTGAAGGGAGACTTTACCTTGCGTGCAACCGGAGAAAAGGATTCACGTCCAGGGTTCATGAACTGGTTACTCGGAGGATGGTGTGGTTTCCCAACATAGCCATTCTCGTTTGGCGCAGGTCCGGCCCTTTCCGGAACAATCCTAAGCTGGGAAGCGGGCGGGAACTCATCATCTCTGAGCGCAAGAGCTCCTGTAGGTGGCGGAACATGTGTATATGGGAGGCTTCGTGCCACGGGGGATTGGGGAGCTGGGGCCGGTTCTCCGCGGGAGCGTTCAAGGGCTTCTTGCCAGGCTTGATATCTCTTGAAACCGCGTTGGCCTTTTCTCTCTGCCGAAGTCTTTCGCTTGGCTTTCTTAACCTTGGCCTTCTGGTTGGCTGGAGTAAAGGGGCTGGGGCCTTTGGCGCCCGGGTTGAGTCTGGGAGATTGGCGACGACCAGGACCATCTTGGCCAGAGATGTTGCTTGTGAGTCTGTTTGTCAGAGTAGATCGAGGCTGAGGCATGACCTCTTCGACCGAATCATCAGTCTCCTCGCCGGACTCCTCCGAGTCGGATATGACGACAACTTCCCGCAAGATCTCATCCAGCTGGTCCCGACCGCTCTCCTCATCTCCTCGCCACTTGACGAGTGTATCCAAACACAAGGCCTCAACGACCTTGCGAGCATTCTGCCATGTGGTCTCTCTGAGTAAAGTGTCATACCTGGTATGGGTATGGCGGATATGAGCGAGCACTGCAAGTTGAACCCGTCGGGCAAGGGTGATGTCGGCTGAGAGTCCTACTTTTTCCGTCTTGGACGATGTGCCCTACGATCATAAACATTCGTACCTAGACATGTTAGGGAGGGAGTACAAACCCGTCTGAAAGCATGTTCGATAATCATCTGGCGGTCGGTGTTGGGGATCCTTGGGAATAGATCTCGCAAAGCGGCATCTACCTGCGCATCATACTCTTCCTGAGATTTTGGGATAGGCTCGGGTGAGCCACCAGTTGGTGGGAGCGTGCGGTCCAGGATGTGTCCTAAGCTGGCCCGGGCTTCCTCGACAATCGTTTCTCTGATATGATGACCGACCCGGTGGACCTGATGTGATAGAGTGTTGGTGGTATTGTCTTTTGCGTTCTTCAGTACGACTAGGTTAGTGAAAGCGGTCGGGGGGCAGCGGAGTATCGCAGTCGCATATCGCATACCGAAACTATAAAGATCATGGCATCTTTGTCGCGGGACAGCTCTTTGCATGCTGTAGTTAGTTCGGGGTTGCCGGCAGGAACAAATTCGAAACCAGGAGGGGGAGTGTTCTTGGTGGTGATCTAGAGGTGGTGAGTGCTGTGATAGATAGATAACCTCGGCGCGATAGTCGCATTGTACCTGAAACTCGAGCTTCTTCTTCTTCTTGTCTTTGTTCTCCACAAACTCAAAGTATGAGTGATGCTTTGTCTTTGGTATGGCTGGCTTGGCAACAAAGCCTTGTGGAACAGGCGCCGTAGGATCATACTGAGATCTCTGGGCTCGGCGATGTCTCTCTTTCGGGCCTCCTGCCACGGCGGCGGGCAGGCCGCGCTTTTCTCTCCCCATATTGCACTATGGTTAGCTTACCATCCACATGGTGGTCAGGCACCAAAAGGTCAGATGAGGTGCAAAGCAGGACACGGGACGGCTGTCAAAAGAACGTGAAGTAGCAACTCAGAAGGCTCTTCCGAGGCCGAGCAGTAACGTGTGCGTTTGCAAGGCGTGTTCCTCTGGGAAACTCCTCGAGCAAGGCCGATGATGCCCTTGTATGGAAACCGGAAACAAAAAAGAAAGCCAAGATTGCAGATGAACTAAGTGAAACGGCCGAGGCTGTTTCGATTTCTTGTCACAAGTCGCAAAACGAGGCACAAACACTCTAGATCGCGACAGGGCAAGCACAAACCAGAAGCGCGACCTGGAGACACTGAGACCGGGCGAGATGGAGGGCAAAGTCGGGCGCGTGTGCAGTTGGGCGCGCACAGCTCGAGGGCGTAAGGCTCCGATGAGGTTATGCAGACGAGATGCAGGCGGATGGGTCCCTTGGATGGATGGCCTCACATCAGGCTGAACCAAATCAGGCTGTGACAGGCCAATCACGTGCTTCGAGGTCAAAGCAGAGTTTTTATCACATGAACCAGCACGTGGCAGTAGTCATGTGACTGTTGGATATCCAAGCACTGCCCCTGGTCTGGTCTGCCTCGGCTTGGAACGAGAGGTAATATTTCTAGAACATCCAGCCTGGCCGCAATGCTTCTTTTACGCAAGGGTCCCCTTGCCACAGCAGAGCCCCTTTTGAAAGACTGGCCGTTGTTTAAATGATTCGCAATATCGGCGTGGCTGGCGACTTCTCCAGGTGTTCAGGGAACAGCTTTGCTGATGAGCATGTCAGAACCAATCACTCGATCCGCATGAGTGCATTTGAAATAAAATCCTTGCAGAAACAATTCAAAGCCTTCATCTGAGTTTGACGGCTCCTCAGTGGCAGAGTTTAAAGCTGAACAAAGCCTCGAGATCGTCAGGCGCAGGCTTATGGGATTCCACAGTGAACTTCGGCATATCGAACTTCGGCATGTGGGCAAACAAAGGAGGCTAGAGCCAGCTTTAGTACTCGGAGCATAATGTCAACCATCAAAACTTTGAACCGGATATGGGTTTCAGATTTCACGGTGCTCCCGGCCAATCGATCGATCAATGTCTGAAACTCCCACAACGGAAGGGGGTCCCGATGCTGACTTGTTTGAAGATCGAAAGATGGGTTGAAGCAAGGAGGCTGCGGTTGGTGGAAGACTGGACTGTAGACTTTGTTTCGTGAAACAGGACAGGTCTGGATCAATGCAAAGCGGCATGTGGGAGAGGCGGGAGTCGCTCCAGACCGTCGTCAATCGCTTCGGGTCAGTGACACTTCATCGTCAGGGGCGGTGGGGTAGATATTCAGGGCGGCAGTTGAAAGGGCGGACTGTGCTCCAGTCTGTTTTCTATTTTTGTCGGCAAGGGGGCGCAATACGGGGAGATGTGCAGATATCAACACATGTTATGCCACCGTCTGAAGTGTGTTTTGCGAGTGGCAAAAAGAAGCCCCGGCGACGGCATTTGAGACGCCGATGGGATGGGAAGTGATCGGTGGTTAACACGCAAAAGCGGGCCCGACGGCGTTTCATTCATGCCGGTGGTGCTTTGATGCTGTGAGCGATGCTGAGAGTGGCGCTCCTTCGGGTCGCGATTCGCTCTGTCACTGAACGAGAGCGAGCTTTGCAAGAGTTGAACTGCACAGCCCCGAGGCGACGTTTGTGCCACTGTGTCTTATCACACAGATCAGCAGCAGGGCACAGTGCAGTTGCAAGGGCAGTGACAGATTAGTGAGCATTGAAAGGAGAAGTAGTGGGATGGACAGTGCACGTGCTGGTGAGAGTCGGTGGACGGTGGTGATAGGTAATGAGGGCGGTGGCAGTGCAGTCGATAATATCGTGACGGCTAGAGGTCGTCCCCGCAATGGAGAAGGAGAGGCGAGACCATGTCTATTTCATTTGGAATTAAGATGAGCAAAGCCAAAAGAAATGATGTTGATCCCCTGATCATTTGAAGCTTGTCAATCTGAAGGGAAGCCACGGACAAGGCGAGATGGGCAGGTTGTTGATGTTGGTTTCAGAACGACCAGGAGATGTGCTACGTCGCATGATACATACTACGGTAGGTATTGACGCCAAAAAGCTTCCAAGCTTCCCCTTCACACGGCGAGAGCGAGGAAAGCGAGAGCGAGATCAATGGTGTGCGGTATGGAGTCCGTTTAGGCTAAGCGTTCGAGGTGAGCCGGTCCTTTTGCTGGCGCCTGATTATTCCATTGCCTTTTCCTCAAGCAGGAAAATGCGCGGACTCTGTACAGCCACGCTCGGGATGCACGGATGACAAGTATTGCTACCCGCTCGCCTGCCATGGCCTGGCTGGATTGGGGAAGAGGATTGCGTATCAGTACCGATCTGTCAAGCCAATGAGGACCGGAGAGTCGGCGTCTTGCATCGCCGTTTGTTTACTCTCAGCGGTGCAGTGTCGTTACAGCAGACGCCGACAAGCATTCCAGTGACCAAGAGATAGCAGATGCCGCGTTGCCGTCTGAGCAACCGCTGGCTGACGAGGACGTGATGGATTTCCCATCACAGTGTGTCTATGACAGCAATTGGACGCAGGAATTCCCGTGCGTGTTTCCGTCTGCACCAAACAAGCGGGAATGATGCTATCAAGACGTTGTGGCATCGCTTCGAGGCATGAGGTCGCAATCTCAAACGCAGGCAACGGGATAATCAACCTGAGGCTTGACCTCTTTGAGCTCAGGCCACGACGAATATTCGTCAGCTCGTAGATGCAAGAGGTTGGCGGTGGTCTTCAGCTGGCAGCGCCCACAATGAAAAAGCCCAGCGGAGTGACCACTGATGTCTGGCCGACAGCGAGAAAGCGAGCGCCATGCTGCCATGACTACCTTTCTGGCGTCCAATCTGGCCCGAAAGGGCAGTCGAGCGTCGTCATCCTCAGGCCGCAGCCTCTCCAGGGGGGTCCCCTCTCGCATCCCTCGGGACACGATGAGACCTGGAACGGGCTCTGGTGGTCAAGATCCAGGGAGAGGTGGGGGGCCAGAGCGACTCTGGCACTTGGTGAGAGAGGCGCTGGGAGGCTCGGCCGCCGAAGGAGTCGGCCTCTTGGCTGGTTTTGGTTGGTTCGATGCGGCGCTGCCTCAGACGTCGCCCGCGCCGGTCACCCAGTCGCTCACATCCTCGCCCTTGGCTTGCACCACCCACGAAAAGAGCTGACGCGTCCTCTCGCTCCACTAGTCGGCTCCCCGGCTGCTGATCCCTGTCAGCCCGGACAACGGCCCTGGCAGCCCCGGCAGGGGTGGAAGGGCAGAGTCGGACGGCGGCTCTCCTGCAAACCTTCAGGGGATTCAGAGCATCACATCCTTGGAATTAGGGGCTTTGGGTTTGTTTACAGTGGATTCCGTTAGTGGGTTTACAGTGGCTCCTCGTGGCTCTCCTGGCGTGCCGGGGGTGAGTTGATGTCCCGGCGGTACGTACCGCCACCAAGGCACCCATCCCATTGATAGAACACCCTTCCCCCAGTTCCCGAGTTCTGCCTGGTTCCATCTTCCATCTTTCCCCTTCTCAACTTTTGCAACAAACTTGTCACCAAATCATCTACATCAATCAACTCATCGAACCTATTCGACATCATCGAGTCACATCTGGCGTGTCATCACTCACTTCTTACATAAACAGGCGGCGACTTCATTCTCTCTACTACCGTCGCTTTCGCTTCCTGCGTCTCTCATCTCGCCCGGTATCCGCCGCTCTGATAACACCCGACTTCACAAAACGTCATCATGTCGGCTTCGGTCCAGAACAACGTCGATATCGACGCCCTCCTCGACCTCACAGAGTACGAGAACGTCTCGAATTACCAGTCTCCTTCGACCTCAGTCTCGCCCTCAGCGACCGCGAAGCCTACCTTCACAAGCCCCGTTACCGCGGCCGTGTCAGTGCCCGCAGCTACCACAACCACACAGACCTTGAGCGGTCCCAGTCACAACTATGATCTGTACCGACAACAGACTGGCTTTGTGCCCGGTGCGCTCGCAAACACCATGGCGGTGAACCAGACCAACAACACTGGTTACCAGGACTTTGGCAGCATCGACTATCTTTCCACCTTTAGCCCCGAGAACGATATGTTTGACTTCAACACCTCGCCTTCTCAAGGAACTCTGGGTGCTTCGGATATCGATATGGACTTCGAGTCCCCTGCCGATTCGCAGCAATTCTTCACCATCAACCCTAGCAACATCGAGCAGGATGCCAGCCTGCCATCGCCACCTGTTCTGCCCACCCAGACCAACAATGTCGGCCGTCTCTGGCCTGGCGCCCACTCTCAGGCTGCCCTCGCCAAGGCTCAAGCTGAGCAGCGTCACCAGCAGCGTCTGATCCAGCAGCAGCAGCAGGCTCAGCGACAGAGCCCCCAGGCCAAGTCTCGCGGCAAGGCTCCTCAGCCTACCGACCCCATCGTCGAGCAGAAGATCACTCAGCTCCTCAACTCGATGCGGGCCAAGCCCTCCATGCCTGATGGTCAGGGCCAGAGCCCCATGACCAACCTTCCCCGCGCCAAGAAGGACGAGGATGACATGGATGAGGATGAGCGACTCCTGGCCAGCGAGGAGGGCAAGAAGCTCAGCAGCAAGGAGCGCCGCCAGCTTCGCAACAAGGTTTCAGCTCGTGCTTTCCGTTCCCGCAGAAAGGGTAAGTCAATAGTATCCCCTCAACTTAATACATACACTAACTGTCATTAGAATACATCTCTCAGCTCGAGAGTGAAATCGCCAACAAGGTCAATGAGAATGGTGATCTCCGATCCCAGAACCGGGCCCTCGTCGAGGAGAACAAGCGTCTCACCGACCTGACCCGCATGCTTCTGTCCTCGTCTTCATTCTCCAACTTCCTGGACACCCTCAGCAACAACCCTGCCGCCTCTACCGCCCCTACTCCTCAGCTCAAGGTTGAGCCTCAGCAGGAGCAGCGCCAGATGCCCAAGGACATCAACCCTTACAACGCCCAGCAATCTCAGCAGCAGCAGATTGGCATGGCCATGATCCCTGAGCAGAATATGGACTTCTCCATGCTCAGCCTGGACAACACCTACAACTTCCAGCCTCAGGTCTTTGTCGTCGACACCCCTGAGGTGCCCGCTCTTGATGCCGCTGTTCTATCTGGAAAGACCTCCAACTTTGTTGAGCCTGCTTTTGATTCCGAGGATGAGAAGGTCGACATGCCCATCATCGAGCGGCCTGTTGAGAAGCCTCAAGTGTCTGAGCCTGTCGAGGCTGTCCCTGTCGACGCTGAGTTTGAGTCTGATCCCGATTTCGCCCTGTTCCACAACGAGCCTGCCACTACCACTGAGCAGCCCAAGGAGCTCGACACTGAGTGTCTCTCCAACGTCGACCTCTTTGGTGGCATTGAATCTGAGAAGGTTCTCTCGCGCCTGGAGCTTGTCGATGCCAGTGAGGAAGAGACCACAGCTGCTCTGGCCATGCTTCGAGTTGAACGCATCTGCGCCAGCACCCAGGCCGTTGTGTCAAGGTTAGAGCTTCTCACCCTTGACATGTAAATGTAGTTGGAATAGGATTGCAAAGGGAGGAACAGAACAGGACATACAAAACTAGCGATTTCATTTTCCTTTGTCACATATGGAAACCATAGCGGATTGGGAACGGACACCACGGCGTTTTGGCAGATGGACGGATCACCCATAGGCGGTGCCCCCTACATAATTTGATTGATACTGGCGGGATTACGAGTGATGACCCCGAGGATTTAGTTGTGTACAGTTAGATAGATAGGCCTACCGCCGCTCGATATCAGAATCCAGACTTGAAGTCTATCTTTGTTTTCCCGAACGTGATGAGATCCATTACCGTGTGCAGTATATCGTCCAGGGACTAATATTGGTAGTGCTGACTAGGGGCAAAGTCTCGCCTGTGGAGAAGGTTGAACATCTTGCAGCGGCAATTCTGTTGGTGTTGCAACCTACATTTTCGGTCCTATCGTTCCACATACGAGCAGGCTGACTGTGCTGCTGTCATGGTCTTGAGGGATAGAGCACTCTCGCTATGTCGAATCGCAACTCTTGGAAGAGTTCGTGTCAAGACGTGCACAGCCAGAGCAGTTTACACTGACTCGAACGATCGACAAGGACAAGGACGGCGTCAATGGGCGCGAGGAGTGAATCGGCCCTTTAGCAGTCGCCACGGCGGCCGGTCTTTGCACCATCAGAAACAGCCGTCTCGGCTCTGCCAAGCATCTCACAAGGCTCGCTACTCTTCCGTCTCGGTGTCACCGTTATCCATGGATCATGTCCTCGTGCCGGGGGTTGCGCCGACCGCCGAGCCGTACCGGTACGAGCACTTTCGGGATGGCTACTCGATCCGTATCTTGACGCTCGAGCCCGGCGTGGGTGATGAGCCGTTGGTCGGGTCTCTTTCTTTTGAGAATTTAGATTTTCAGCCGGAGTATGAGGCCATCTCGTATGTTTGGGGTACTGAGGGCCGGTGCTCTGAGATCCTCGTTGATGGGAGGGTGCTACCTTTGACGCGGAGCATTGAGGGAGCGCTGCGCCGCATGAGACATGCCTCGTCCCGTCGTCGTCTCTGGGCAGACCAGATTTGCATCAACCAAGACGACATTGCGGAGCGGAGTCAACAGGTTAGTCTCATGAATGCCATATACAAGGGAGCTCAGCATGTCTTGGTGTGGCTGGGGCCGGACGACAACCGTGCTGCCCAGGCGGCCGTCACCATGGTTCACTATCTACATGGCGTCTTTACGAATGATGAGATGCATGATGAGTTTCGTCTTGCGCACTCGGAGGAGCTGCTGAAGCAGGATAAGAGTCCTTGGGTGCCGCTGGCTCAGATGACGAGGCTACAATGGGTGAGTATCAGAAGCTTGAGAAATTGGACGCCACTGATGAGTCCAGTTCAACCGGATATGGATTGTCCAAGAGATTGGTACTACAGCGCCGGCCACTCTCTACTGGGGAGACGTCGAAATTGACTGGGAGATCTTGTCTCTTGTCACGGGCGTCTTGGGTGAGAGCTATCACCATCTGAGGTCGAGGTTTTACATTCTCACCCCCAACATTCGGTATCTGTACCAGAGATTTGTTGAGCCGGATGAGGACAACGACATCAACCAAGACCGTGCCTCTTTTATATATGAGCTACACCGCGCGAGACATCTACTCGCCAAGGATCCTCGAGATCATGTGTATGCCTTTCTAGGCCACTTCTCTCTTCACACTGGCAGCAAGGCCCTCTCGGAGCTGGAACCAGACTACAGCAAGTCGATCGAAGACGTCTACTACGACGTTGCCACTAGAGAACTCTCGGGCTGCGAATCACTTCTCTTACTGTCTGCCTGTCATGATGTGCCGTCCACATATAGGAGGAGGCCCATGACAAGGGGCGATCTACCAACGTGGGTTCCGGACTGGCGCATCGTTCCGCTTCACCTCATCGGAACTCCCGGCACACCTCACAGAGCTTCAGGGGACTTGGCACCGAGATTACACATCGATGATGAGAGGAAAGCCTTACATATCCGTGGCATACGTGTAGATCGAATCCGCCGACCGACGTGGACCTTCTGGGCCAACGCCTTCCAGTTCCGTCGTGAGCCAGTACCTCAACTACCTATTGAAGCTCTATGGGGTAGCATCTGCGGTCGTGGAAGCAAGCGCTTTAGTCTGCAGAAGAAGTACTTTACTGGTGAACCGGCTTTCTTCGCCCTTATACAGACGCTGACGAACGCCTGCGTCGGCGCGGACCGCTCCCGTCCCTACGAGGAGGTTCCCAAGGAGGAGTGGCTCGCCAACGGGGCGGCGTACCTAGTTCGCGCGCTGGGAGATACGGAGGGCGTGGACCAGGAGATCCAGCGGCTGGCGCTCACTGGGGATGGATTCAAATGGAGCCACCAGGCGACGCTGGTAACACGATACCGCAGGTTTGCAGTGACTGCGGGGGGGTTATTTGTCCTGGGACCGGATATCATGCAGAACGGGGACGTGGTGGTTGTGCTATATGGGGGAAAGGCGCCGTTTTTGCTAAGGAGGAGGTCTGATGGGAAAACGTGGATGTTTGTGGGCGAGTGTTATGTACATGGGTTGATGAATGGGGAGGCTTTGGAGGGTGATACTCCTCAGGAGGAGTTTGTAATTTTATAAGGGCTTGGATATCATGAGGGATGACAAGGTCAGGATGGATATACCCCGTGGGATAACTACATAGTTAGCAGTTTGGATATTGGATACATGTATAATCATAGTTATAAGAGCAACTCCCTCCTTGAGCGTTCAAGTCTTCCCCTTCAGAAGATATCTCAAAGTGATGTGGTTCATGTCGCGTATCATTGTGTCAGTTGGGTATATACGTCCATATTTCCATCCATCCAAACGAGCGTATCTAACAAGATGAAGATGCCAATCCAACGCCGGTTCAAGTTCCGATACAAATATTCATAGTTCGGAAAGACTGTAAAGAAGCAAAGGGTATAACCAGTCCATATAACCATTCTCCATTTCCTCCTGTTCCTCATCCATGTTCATACCTCATCATTCCATATCATGCCTCATGTGTCAGTTTCTCTTAGACGGCCTCATGCCCCTTCACTGGTGTGGCTCCCATGATGCTGATGCCGTCTTCGTCGTCACTAAGCGAACGTCGAGGATCCGGACCCAAGTCCTTGTTGACGATGCCAGAAGTCTGGGGAGGGAGGTTTCCGCCTCGGAGTTCCCAGCTACCCACACGCTCATGGTGAATACCCGTCTTTGTCACCACGACATCAGGATCACCCTCCTTCCTCTCAGATCCCTTGAAACCACCAACAGCAGCCTCAGTCTGTGTCTCTTCAGCAGGAGGGGGGTTGTTGCGACTGAGGCGAACTCCTCCCAAGAAGTAAAGACCAGCAAACACAATGCCAACAACAACGAGCATGATGATCGCACCAATGATTCCACCAATTGCCGGGCCAACTTTAGAGGTACTCAAGTCCAGGTTTTCCACTGCGTTCAAGAGACACCAGGGGGCAGGCGTGGGACTGCAAATTTGACACCAGTCGTTGGCCGTCCTGCCGAGACCCTGCATGGTTTCCAAGAACTTGGTATACAGCACCCCGTCAGGACTTGGACTAAAGAGCCCCTGGTTCGCAAAGTCCTCATCCGCATCCGCCGAGGCGCGATAATACAATCTCACACGCAGAGTATCGGCAGACGGCTGTCGGTTCGGAAAGTCGGGGTCTTCGCCAAAGAGCTCAAACACCAAGGCAGCACCCGGCTCAGGAAGTGTGGAAAAGGGCCCCTCAAAGATAGCATCGCCCGTGACGAGCCCCGCGAGGTGGACGAAGCTCATGATGGGCTCTAGGGAGCCAAACATGAGGCTGAGCTTGTTGTACTCGCCCTTCCACTGGATGTTGTTCTGGAACTGCTGGATCACTCTGTTGGCCAGCGTGCGGCCGGCGATGGAGTAGAGGATTCCAAGGGGGTCGTTGTCGCTCTCGCGCTCCTTGTAGCTGTTTTGAGCGCGCAGAAGGGTTGTGGCGTATGAGTTGAGGAAGCCGAGCGTCACGTTTGCGTTGCTCATGCCCCTGTGGACAGTCTCATTGTGGCGGTACATGTAGTCGACGTACTCCCAGAGTTCAAAGGCATTCCAGAAGTGAGCATAACCAATTTCGACTGTCCCGACGAGAGGCGCAGTTGAAAAGAGGTTCTGGTAGAAGGGGAGGGTTGACTGGTAGAGACCGTTGAGCTGCTCATCTGAGGTCAAGTTGGAGTTCATCTCTGTATTCCAGGCAGAGCATCGGGCTGTCCCATCGAGTCTGTAATGTGTTAGCAGGGGCCTGTTTGATGTGGTTGTGAGCGTACGCAGTAGAACTAGGGTCCATGTAGCTGGCAGTCCTGATACTGGGATATTGATATCCATTGAGCGGGTATTCAGTGTTGTTATCACCCAAGTCCAAGTTGAGACCTAAATCTTCACCTCCAGCGGTTGCATCGTAAGCATTGGGAGACGGAGGATAAAGGCCCTGCATGAAGGCCACAGCCCCAGCAGACACCCATTCATCCGTCTGAGAAAGAATGTCGACATCGTCATTGTCAATCACATCAATGTTGAGCTTCTGAATGTACGCAGTCTGTATATCGTCAAAGTCAGAGTCGTTGACGCTGTTTCTGAGATAGCGAGCTCGAAAGGCCGTCCCCTGCCGCCACATCTGCTGGGCTCCCTCGGGAGTCAGGATGGTGCGCATGTCGCTGATGATGGGCGTCCTCTCGCCATGGTTGACGAATGCGACGGCAGCCCAGACCTTGTCACCGCTGCTCTGGGCCGCTGCGCTGTTGATCAACGGCGAGACCGCAAAGAAGCGCTTGAGGTTAACCATTGTGAAAGACGATTGAGGGGGCTTAAGGCCTCATCTGACACCGTCGATGTGAGGGGGGAGGAGATGCAAGGGAAAAAGAGAGAGATAAGCTCAGAGGGAAAGGATGCGAGAGGGATTCATGGCCGGGTTATACAGAGCTGCAAGCTACGGGCGATCGTCATCCATTAACGGCATTTCCGCCAAGATCAGGCTCTAACAGAACGTAGGTCTCTGTACATGACCATAAGGCCTACCGGCTACGACGTATCTTCTCATCGAGACATGGCGTTGGGATTCCACCAACAAGGCTGGGCAATGATGTGCTCGTGAGCGGGGTGGCTTTTCTCACACGGGAGTCGATAGCACGAATGGCATGATAGAGGATGGGCTGCCACCTTTCTTTCGCCGGGAAGGGCGAAGCCAGCATTCGAGGCCACCCAATCATAAGAGATCAACTCGAGATGGTTGCAC